GCGCAGCCTGCCGTACCACCGGTGAACTTTGGAGTGAAGGTCCCGAAACCGAGAGACCTGGAGTGGTCCGGGTTCTCGAAGTTCTCGGGGAAGGAGACATATGCTGGCGTCGGTGCCGACTTTAAGGCGTGGGGGCTGCGGTTCCTTCAGCGACTAGGTGCTGCACAGCAAATGAGCGGAGGAGACTGTCCGGAAGAGCTCAAGATACTCGCACTCAATGGAAAACTCGAGGGCACAGCGCTAATGTACTTCGAGAAGATGCTGCCTGGTTGGACGGCAGTCTCCAACTCTCTTGAATACGTCATGAACAGCATGTTGGTACACCGATCCCGTCGGTTAAGGGCATTGAGCTGATGGCGAAGGAGAAGAAATCGTCCAGGTCATGGCCCAAACACTACCAGTACCTACTGTACGTGGCTGAGCGGTCCGGTAACTCCGAGCAATGCGTCTTGCAGTGCTTATGCAAGTCCGCACCTGTATACCTTCAGAGGGCGATGTTGACGCGTCTCAACTCGCAGCGCATGGATCATCTGCAGCAAGCCGCGGAGCTGGTTTCGTTCGCGATCGAATACGAGGCCAACACAGCAAAGTTAGGCAACGGCAACGGGTGTAGCAAGAGCAATCGAGGTGGCCATGGACGAGGTGGTCGCGTCCATGGAAGTGGCGACGGTGACCAAAACGGACGCGGTGGCGTATTTGTAGCTCGAGTTGGCAGCGGAGAAACACGCACTTGTCATGAATGTGGAGAAGTCGGGCATTTAAAAGTTAATTGCCCGCAGAAGAATAAGGGAGGTGCTGTGGCATCGACCAGGGTCGCGCTGGCTGTGACAACTGAGGCGGCTTCAAGCTCAGACTCGTGGATCATGGACAGCGGATCCAGCGTACACCTTGTGAAGGACCCGAACATCTTGTGCGATCCGGTCGCATGTGACAAGGTGTGCAGAGCTGCAAATGGCGGTGAGGTGCACGTCACGAAGGTCGGTACAGTTAAGTTACGCACAATTGTTGACGGTAAGGAAGTTGATATCGACATGTCCGAGGTGTACTACGCGGACAACTTGATGGATAACATCATAAGTTACGGAAGACTTGAAGACCGCGATGTGTATCTTGAACGACACGACGGCAAGAGCTACGCCGTACGAGAAGAAGATCACGTACGTGTGTTCGAGATACACAGGCGCAATGGCGTTCTCATGGTGGACGTTATGGGTGAGAAGACCACGGAGGCACGCGTTCACGTGGTGAGTGCTGCAGTTCGCGAAGCCGGTGAAGCACTCGGTGACGCGGTGACTGAAACAACGCTGCAAGCGTTGCATAAGAGGTTGGGGCACATTGCGTACGACACCGCGGAACGCATGGCTGATACCGCAGGGTCTGGTATCCTGCTGACGGACAGGACCCGTCCGAACTGCTTGACATGTGCGCAGGGAAAGCAGAGCGTGAATAACCAGCCCAAGAAGGACACGGGCTCCAATGCACCGATTGATAAAATTGGTGGAGTCATTGGCAGCGACATCAAAGGGCCGATGACTCCTAACGACCGCCGTGGCAACCGATATCTGATAAACTTTGTCGACTACTCGACCAACTATGTGCGCGTGTTCTTGGCCAAGAACAAGATCGAAGCGACGAAGAAGTTTGAACACTTCCTAGTGTATTTCGAAAAAAGATTCAACTGCAGGATCCACGTGCTCCGTACCGATGGTGGTAAAGAGTACGTTAACGTTGACCCATTCTGTAAGGCCACGGGCGTGAGACGCCAGACCAGTGAGGCTTAGAACCAAGCTTCCAATGGCAAGGCTGAGAGGATGCACAGAACTGTGTTAAACATGACAAGATGCATGCTGTTTGCGACTGGACTTCCGCTGTACTTTTGGGGCGATGCGGTGGAGTACGCGACGTACGTGTTGAACCGCAGCTCCTGCAGTGCAAATACTAAGCGAAAGTCTCCGTTGGAGATGTTGACCGGTACTGTGCCGAAGTTGTCGGACGTGGTGACCTTTGGTAGTCCGTGCATGGCGTACCTTGACCCAGGAAAGAAGGCATGGAAACCACGCGCGCAGGTCGGAATGATTGTCGGTAAGAATGACGAGACCAAGGGGTACAAAGTATACTTACCCAAGGATAGGATCGTCATCACTACACAGCACATCAAGAACGTCGAGACGTTGGATAATAAGCAGAACGCACAGCTACAAGCGCAGCTGGAGCGCGAGAACCCAGATCTGCGTTGCGCTGTGGAGGAGCGCGAGAAGGCTTCGAACCGGAAGGGAATGGCACCACAAGTCGATGTACCAGTACCCGCGAAGTCAGCAAAGAGCACGAAGTCGAATGGTAAGTCGGAAAGAAGGTCGGCCAGGAAGGCCAAGATCAGACAGAAGAAGAAGGCACCGGTCAAAGATGCTGCAGCGTCGGAAGGAGTTGGGGGAAAACATTTTCCGACCAACACGGACAACACGGGTCCACGCACAAGATATAGGGGTGCCAAGCACGTGCCCGTTGCAAGAGTGCATGTTGTGGTCGTCAAGGACCCGAAGAGCTATTATGATGCGATGAAGGATCCGCGCGCTGAGCAGTGGAAGCAAGCGATCCGGGAGGAGATTGAGGCGCTCGAGCAGAACGATACGTGAAAGATCATCAAGAAGCCAAGGAACGCAAAACTGCTGCAGACCAAGTGGGTTTTCAAGCTGAAGACGCATGCGGATGGCACTATTGAGCGCTACAAGGCGCGTTTGGTGGCACGTGGCGACCAGCAGGAGTACGGAGTCGACTACATGCTCACATTCTCTGCCGTACTTGAAATGACGTCCGGAAAGTTGATCTTGGTTGCCGCACGGATCTGGAACGTTCCGGCTAGACACGGGGACGTACCGAGTGCATACGTGAAGGCTGACAAGGAGGCCAGCATTGATATCCTACTGCACATTCCGTTAGGTATGGAGGTCGCGGAGAACTTGCTAAAGTTACTGGACGTGAGGACCAAGAGGGAGCTCGCGCTTCGCCTCAAGAAAGGTCTGTACGGCCTACGGCAATCCGGTCGACTCTGGAATCTATTGTTGCATAGCATTTTGGTGTCACTGGGCTTTCGGGAGTGCTACACGGACAGCTGCATGTATGTAAAGGTCGAGCTGGACGGTACGACGCTCGTGGGCGTGTATGTGGATGATCTGCTCGTAACGGGCACCAGCGAGGAGAAGGTGAACAAGTTCTTCAAGGACATGAAGATCGTCGAGCTGAAAGACTTGGGAGTCGTGTCAAATTTCTTGGGCATATCGGGTCAGTACGACGACGTGAATGGATGGTCACTCGACCAGGAGCAGATGATCAAGGGGATGTTGGAGAAGTTCCAACTGGATAAGGCTGCGCCTGCGCGCGTGCCGATCGGAGGTGAGCACGACGGTGAAGACGCTGGTGACCTGCTACCGAATAGTGGAACGGGAACGCCAGGACGACCGACAGTGCAGACGTTCCAGTCGCTGGTAGGAAGCTTACTGTGGATTGCTCGATGCACCAGACCGGACATCGCGTTTGCGGTGCACCGAGCAGCCAGACACTCGCATGCCCGCGCGAAGGAGACTGGCGTCTGGCAAAAAAGATCGCCAAATATCTGAAGGGTACCATGCACTGCAAGTTCGCGATGAACGGCGACGAGACCGCGATGGATAAGGATGGCGTGCTTGTGGAGGCATATAGCGACGCAGATTACGCTGCGGACAAGACCGACAGGAAGTCGGTAACTGGTGGTGTGCTCATGGTGGGGGGCATAATTGTCGGGTGGATCCGCAAGAAGCAGAACTGCGTGGCCCTGTCTACGATGGAGGCCGAGTTCGTGGCCGCATCACAGACAACGGCTGAGATGCTAGGCATTATCGAGTTGTTACATGAAATCGGGCTGAAGACACGTACACTGTCGGTACTACACGTCGACAACCAAGCTGCGATCGCGCAGATCGAGGGCGAGGACACATAAGGCCGTGCGAAGCACATCGACGTGAAGCTCAAGTTCGTTAAGGATTTTGTTAAGAAGACGGTGATGCGGATTTCGTACTGCGAGTCCAAAGCAATGCGAGCTGACATCCTGACCAAGACCCTACGGGCGCCACGCCTCGATGAGCTGCGTGAGCTTGTTATGCTCGTGGATAAGCATGCTCAGCCAGGGAAGGAGTGTTAAAACTCGCAGAACGTCCACGACGACGGCAGGTGCGGAGAATGTGCGGAAGCAGTAAGAGGCATCAGTTAGGAAACTACTACACAAAGAGTCGTACTCTAAAAAAGTTAGGAAACCAACATTGCATATCCAGAAGCATCCAAAGTGTAGCTTTAACTTACACTAAATACGTCAGTTGTTAATTTCCATCCTCGTGAGCAAGCTACTATTTCAACAAGAGCACATGATTCGCCGCCACTCTCCTTTATTAGTCTTACTTGCTTACCAATTGGGAACAATCTCAACTGAGGGTCGAGCGGCCAACCGCACGCTCGGGATCCTCCCTACAAAGCCCACCGTCGCCTACCTGAGAGGGACCTCTGCTGCCCTACTGATGTCGCCTCACCTCCTTGCCTTCTGTCCTTGCTCGCTTGTCGCGCACGTCCGCCCTCCTTGCGATCTTCGAACGTCCATCAACTTCAACTGCTGCCTCCTTGTCCTCGGTGGCGCCAGCCTGCTGGCTCGCTCCCGCCACCGCACTGCTTCCACAACACTCACACGTCACCGAACTCGCCGGTGTCGTCCACGCCATCCTCGGCCGTCAGGTCGATCACCTCGACCGACTGCCCGCTCGAGTCCGTCAAGTCCCTGTCGTATTTCACCCTACTACAGATGTGTCACACTTCATGTAACAAGGGGATACACTTGGAGTTACGTACCCCGTTTCATATGCGGCTAGCAACAGGCTAACCGGAAAATCAGTAGGTTGAATTTTACCTGCCTCTGAAGTTTACCGGTATTGTACTGAAATGTCAGTGTAACCCTTTCAAATTGAGTACTTGTTGCAGCAATGGATGGGACAGGAGACCAGCGCGCTGCCCTCTTCTCGCGCGCCCTTCGCGGCGTTGAGCACACTAATATCAACGACTTGCCAAGTAGCAGCAGTAGTTCTGCCATTGGTGGATTTCTCGTATGTCTAGACGTGCCGGCGGCCACGGAATTTGGTGTGGACTACGAGGTTTTCCGCACAGGCCCAGAGTTCCAGGGTGTCAAGTTCCTCCCACTAGGAATCCACTTCGTCCTCTACCGCTCTCGAGATCAAGAGCACGGCATTCGTCAAGGATTTTTCGTCAACGTAGAGCGTAATGCGCAAGTGATTGTGCGCGAGTGGAGCCTGGAGAAGGAGGAACTGGGGCTGCCTCGATTAGGACTCAACGTAGAGAACCTTGAGCGTACGTGCGGCCGCTGACTGGAGCAATGCTGCGCTAAATAGCTGAAGCACTGCTGACAATGCTTATCGCAGGCGCTGTGCTGTCGTTCCAGCTGGACAGCGGACTGGGGTCGTACCCGAAGCAGCATTTAAAGACCTGGCATCGCCTTTCCAGCTACATTTCTGCCTCGGTGCTGCAGGTTGGAGCGTTGTTGGTGGTAACAGATATGGTGGCGTTGATAGTTATATGACGGTGATATTGTGCAGCGTTGCGGCGTGGAGTTTGGAGCCATTCTTCTCCCAGGCGACGCTGTTGACGATGCAGCAACCTTGTTTAAGACGCAGGACGGCGTCACCCCATACTTTCCTGACCTACCTCGAACAGTTGGATTTACTGCACTGCAGAGGACACGGACAGATTTGTTGGCGGAGGCAAGGACAGGTTACCATTTCGATCGAAGGTGGGTCCTGCAGTTCCAACTTGTAGCACGGTGAAGCTTATCCGATGTATGTTGTGGATCCAGTGAGAGACTGGTCGAGTTGATTGAGACAGAGTTTGGAGGCGACTGGAAGGAACTCATGGGCGAGCTGCAGCTGTCGTTTCTGGTTTTCCTGCAGCTGTCGTCTCTTGCAGCACTAGAACAATGGAAGCAGGTAAAAGCCTTGACAAACGTTGGTACAGCAGAAGCGAATGAATGTCTAACTACGACGAGCTGTAGTTTATCGCACTGATGTGTTCGTGTGAGCGAGCACTCTCTTCGCATGTGCCACTTTTTATGGCCTTCATCAAGCTCTTCAGAACACAATTGGAGCAGGTTCGTTGCGTCTTTGTATTGACCACGCGCACTCCTTTCCTTTCACTAACATGGTCTTGTCATCATCAAACAGATCCCAGAAGACTTTTTCCAAGACGAAACAACCAGCGAGAACTTCCTGAGGCCATGTTTATTGTCGCTACTGGAGTTGATCGAGGACGATGACTCTCCACCACAGGTGCTACTTAGTACGCGTCAAATGGACCCTTTTCCGAACGGATGCTGACAGCATAATAACTCACTGTTACTTTTTCACGATCGGACAGCTTCGACGCCAGGCGTTCCACTTACAACAGCTTCTCGTCAGTCGCTTCCATTGGGACACGAACGCTGCATTGGAAGTGGATGAGTTTGCACCCGTTTTAGTGCTGGAAAAGGAGGTAAGGCGCTGGCCCCTGCGATATTCGATATCGTATCTTTGAAAGATACCATGCCACGTTTCATGGTGAGAGTGATGGTCAGTGGTTTCTGAGACGTTTGCTGCTGTTTCTCGTAGCTGTCCGATGCTACGACCGCCACTACGATACAAGATGAGGCTGGTACTATCTCTGCATCGCCACCACTACCACCCGCTGCTTCTGCAGAGCTGCGCCGCCAACAAGAAGAGACTCGAGAGAACGCGGCAATTGCCGCCGCATTTCTGGGCAACTAATTTGGCGGGAGAGCTTGGTGCAGAGATCGGGTCTCGATCTTACAAAATGCAAGTCTTTTTGTGCCACACCATCGTTACATCAACCCGTTGGTTGGCTGGCCCGTTTAGCTCACCATTTTTTTCAGTCCCCCTTCGCCCGCGATAAGGGGAGAGCTTTAGAGAGGAGAGAGAACTTGATGGAAGCATGAAGCCGCAGCACACCAGTTCCAACCCCGGCGGCCGTGGCGGCTACGGCCCTAACCCGGCACACCGCATACCCGCAGCAACCCTCACCACTTGGT